GCTCCTCCTTCTCCTCCGTCTCCCACTGCTGCAGCTGCCGCTAAGGGGGGTGGGTATGTGGGAGCCGAAGGAGTGGTGCTAGGGGGGTGACGTGGGAGTGGAGCTAGGGGTACAGCAAGGGGTGTGTGAAAGAGGGGTGTCGGACAGTTGGGGGAGGTTGCGTGGAGCCTGTCGTCGTGTCGCCTGCAGCGCCAGTAGTCCGGAGCCTGTCTTGCTCCTGGTAGCCCACAGAGCATGCTGCGCCGGTCGCCCGTGGGTCCGTTGCTTCCGCCGTGCAGAGCCAGTTACTCCCTGTAGTCCGGGGCGCTGTCCCGGTAGCCACTGTGCCAGCCGCTCCTGTTACCCGTGTGTCTGCAGCTTCAGCCGTTGCCTCCCATCTCCTCTCCTCTCAAAGTCTAGTCTCCTCCTCCTCCTCACGTGCCCGATGTGAATTCCTCTAGCTGTGCTTGTTGTGCTGATTACACCCCACTTTGGCTATGGGGGTGAGTCAGAATGTTGTATTTGTCTAGCCTGCAATGGGGTACTCTTCAGCGAGTACAGCCCAATTTAGGGTTTCCTATATGTACTCAATTGTTTGCTAGTGCAAATCCCCTCCTTTTCTCATTTCTGTTTCTAACTACTATTGTGACACTCGAGTGTTGAGGTGGGTCATGGAAGGGGAGAGAAGAAAGGCGACGGGTAAACATTTTGAGGCGAGGGCGAAGGCGCAGAGGGTGGGTGATGGGAAGGCAGAAACGTGTCAGAATCCCAGTCACTAACCATTGGGATAAAAGGGCTTGTTTGTGTAGCCGGTGAGTGGGGCCATGACCCCCCAGGCCAACGTGCCTGACACCCTTCCCTAGGATCGATCAAGGATCTCCAGTGGACCTCTGACACCCCCATGCACTGGGATGCCCGAAGTGCACACACCGGGATTCGAACCCCAGACCTTCGCTCTAATAACATGTCAGAATCCGGAGGCTATCGGACCAACGGCATCCTGACAACTGGAGTTGTGAGAATGTAAAAGCGAGGATGGTGAACTAACAGCATGGAGGAGTACAAGTAGCAAACCCTAATTTGGTTGTACCCCATATGGGCTACCCCACTACAGCCTACACAACATGCAACATATGAGTTTGAGACACCCCCATAGGCAAAGTGGAGGAGAACAAGAGGTTACAAGACCAGTCAAGAAAAGCAAAGCAAGCTCAGGGTGGATCACAAAGTCACCACACACTCTGGGCACAAGCAAATGGCCACAAGGCCAGTTCACATGCAGAGTTATATAATAGAGAACAAGCATTACAGTGATCAAAACCTAGCAAGTGTAAGCATGCTTGCTTGTTGTCCCGAGTGATCTGCAAGCCAAGATATCTACGCAGCTCACCCAGGTATGTGCACGTGTGTCTCTTCTGCAACTTCGACTTCACTAGGGCTGGTACCCCAGTGTCAGCAGTGGCAAAGACCAAGTCGTCGACATACACGAGGATGTAGAACGGCGGCAACGAAGTGTCGGTGCGTAGAAACAGCGACGGGTCAGCAGTCGAGAGCCCAAGAGCCGCAAGCGTCGTCCTCAGTGTGTCGTGCCACTCGCGAGGCGCCATGCGGAGACCATAGACTGGCCGCTGGAGGCTCCACTGGGTACCTGCAGGAAACAGCCCAGTGAAGCCAGGTGGGCGGCGCAGCCAGATCTCCTCGTGCAGGCTGCCCTGTAAGAAAGCTGTGCAGAGAGAAGCTCGTAGTCACGCTAAGCGGCAACGTGCAGCATTAGTTGAAGAGTGGTCATCTTCGGGGTAGGGGAGAAGGTCTGGAGAAGTCAACTCCCTGTCGTTGTCTAAAGCCTCGTGCAACGTAACGAGCCTTGAAGGCAAGCGGAGAACCTGGCGGCCGCTTCACCCTGAAAATCCACATGCCATCGACTTTATTCGCTCCAGGAGGGGGAACTGCGTTGACGTACGTTCCTGTGGACTTCCAGGATGCCATCCCTACGTCCATGGCTGTCTGCCACTGAGAGGAGTAGGGACCCGTAATCACCTCTGCGTAAGAGCGCAGGGTCGGGATGTCTAGTGCATCTGGGTCTCCCTTAGGTGCAATCAGCATGGACACGAGATGAGGTACATCAGCTGCAAAATACTCAAAGTCCTCGTGCCTGTCCTCAAGGACGTCCATGCCAAGAGCACACTCACACCCGACGGACGGAGGACAGACAGACTCAGACTCAGCAACAAGACTCGCGACGTAGTCGAGACGACATGCAGCAGCATATTCAACAAGCTTAGCAACTAGGGCATATGCAGAAGTGGACTCAAATGAAGGGTTAGTGACAACACTGGCCAAAAGACACTCGATAGTAGGACTAGCAGCACGAAGGAGGCCAGACTCAGGGTCTGGTCTGTCAGCAAGAGAGGATGCAGGAGGAGACGGCAGGGGGACACGCTGTGGAACAGAGGAAGGACGAAGTGCCATATGGTGCGTGCCGGGTACAGGAGGAGGGCGCGGACGCGGAACACGACAACCAGTGCGAACAGGCGAGGGAGGGCGAGACGCAGGCTCACGACGCTCTGTAAGAGAGTCTGACTGCTCAGTGTAAGGAGAAGGAGCAGGCAGTGGGGAGTCTGGCTGTAGCTGTGGCTGCGACTAGTCAGGCGGTGGACGCAGCAAGGGAGGAGTAAGGCCAGTAGAAGACGGGAGACTAAGAACCTGGCGAAGTGCCGAGCCAGGATGCGGCAGAGACGACGGCGACGGTGGAACGAAAAACAGTTGCCGCTGCACAATGCCTCCAGCACCAGTACCGACAGCTCAAGCACCCCCAGCGCCAGCACCTCCAGCTCCAGGGTCTCCAGCTCCAGCACCTGCAACACCACCAGCTCCAGCAGCTCTAGCACCTCCAGCCACTCTTGTACCGCCAGCACCTCTAGTACCTCTAGCAGTAGAAGCACCACCAGCTCCGGCAGCTCCAGTACCTCCAGCACAAGGACCTCCAGGACCAGCAGCTCCAGCACCTCCAAAACCTCCATTCGCAGCAGCACCACCAGCTCCGGCAACTCCAGTACCTCCAGTACGAGCACCTCCGGGACTTGCAGCTCCAGCACCTCCAGAAGCAGCACCACGACCGGCTCTAGTAGCTCCAGTACGAGCACCTCCTGGACCAGCGGCTCCAGCACCTCCAGTACCTCCAGGACCAGCAGCTCCTGTGCCTCCAGCGCCAGGGCCTCCAGCGGCAGGCCCCCCGGCTCCAGCAGCGCCACTCCGACTGCTCCAACGCCGAGCAAACCACTCGCGCAGCTGTGGTGGAGAGAGAGGCTCCCGCCAGGACGGGACACCCGTAGGACCTCCAGCACCGCCAGGACCAGCAGCTCCTATACCTCCGGTACCTTCAGCTCCAGCGCCTCCAGCTCCAGGGTCTCCAGCTCCACCGCCTGCAGCACCACCGGCTCCAGTACCTCCAGTACGAGCACCTCCGGGACCAGCAGCTCCAGCACCTTCAGGACCAGCAGCTCCAGTGCCTCCAGCTCCAGGGCCTTCAGCGGTAGGCCCGCCAGTTCCAGTAGCACCACTCCAAAGGCTCCAGCGCCGAGCAAACCACTCGCGCAACTGTTGTGGAGAGAGAGGGTTTTGCCGTGACGAGGCACCCGTAGGACGACCAGCAGACAAGGTACCTACAGGCTCAGCATGCTCAGGCTCAGCACCCCCAGGCTCAGCTCCCCCACGCTCCGCACGCTCAGGCTCAGCACCCCCAGGCTTCGCACCCTCAGACTCCGCACGCTCAGGCCCAGCACCCCTAGGCTCCGCACCCCCAGGCTCCGCACCCCCAGGCTCAACACCCCTAGACGCAGCACCCCTAGCAACACCAGAGTCGACAGCTACCTCGACAGGCTCGACAGGGTTTACCTGGGACACACCTGAGAAAGCAGGACCCTGAGGGGGGAGGGGGTCTACAGGAGGAGGACCTGGTGCAAGGAAGAGCGGCGGGGGGGGGGGGAGCGGGGCAGTGTGGTAGGGGAAGAGACGTTAAAATGAAACCGGCTTGTCAAACGTGACGTCATGAGAGGGCAGGACACGGGGCGAGATGGGGTGGAAAAACCGCCAGCCAGGTGCGTTAGGGGGAAAGCCAGGGAAGACACATGGAATGGCGCGGGAGGAGAGCTTGTCTGCGGAAGAATAAACATTCAATCTGACAGCCGTCACGTTCTGATAAACACATTATTTCCACGTACGCAAAACAGGCACTGAAGCCTGCGATAACCTGACTATGTTTGCCCTCACTTCTTTGAAGGCATGTCGAAGAGATCTGCTTATGTTTGTCAACTTATTTGGGTGTAGATATCCTTTATACATCATAACAATGCGAGCCCATTCAGTGTGACGCGCACCTTTGGTCAACGAAACCGGCGGCTCGTGCCAGAATGTGGCGGGAAACATCTGTCTGCTGCTTCGCGGGTTGATGACATCATCCCAAGGCCCTCAGGTTAGGCGTAGCGAGACAACTAGGAGGGGTCTGCTCTGCCGTGGCGAGGACGGACTGGCGGGGGGTGTGGGTGCGAGGAAATGGTGATGGTTGGTTGGGTGGCAGCTAGGGCCGCGCTGGTTCAGTGACAGACGCATCAAGGGTGCCAATCCGCCTCACCTGCTGTTTTCAGGGTTTACTATGCCAAACCCAGCGTACCGAAGGCGTGTTTTCCAGAGGCTCAATGTGTCTCTTTTGGAAATGATGACCAAAGCAGAATGCTTCGAGTTGAAATGTGACCCTAATTATCGTAGTGTAACTTGGAAAGGTGTGAAGAGAAAGCGCGCCCCCGCTTCCAAGTTCGTGGGCACGCCTGGGATGCGGTGAACTGTGGTGGGGTGGAGAGCTGTGAACTGTTGAAAGAGCTTATTCCTTCTTTCCCGCCCACTCCGTAAATCTACTCCTCTTACCAGTTCCAATCTAGCAACAGTTGGCAAAGCGATGCACGACGAGCGATTAGCGCGCCCCTTCGCAGACTCATGGCGTCATCATCTCGTGGCATCATGAGCTCATGACGCGTAGGAATGGGCGAGTAGAAAACTCCGACCCAGCAGGCATGGCGTCCGCGTCCAATGCGCCGGACGCCAAGGACGGCTACAGCGGGGGTGCTGCTCTCCCTGCTGTCTCCTCCACCTCATTCAACTCTGTTAGCTCCATGGACAGCAGCCTCGCGGAAGCACAGTCGCACCGCCAACCCCGAGACGCCATGACAGGTGAGACATGCCGCGGTCGCTGTCTCTCTCTCTCTCTCTCTCTCTCTCTCTCTCTCTCTCTCTCTCTCTCTCTCTCTCTCTCTCTCTCTCCTCCTCTCTCTCCCTCCCTCCCTCCCTCCCTCCCTCCCTCCCTCCCTCCCTCCCTCCCTCCCTCCCTCCCTCCCTCCCTCCCTCCCTCCCTCCCTCCCTCCCTCCCTCCCTCCCTCCCTCCCTCCCTCCCTCCCTCCCTCCCTCCCTCCCTCCCTCCCTCCCTCCCTCCCTCCCTCCCTCCCTCCCTCCCTCCCTCCCTCCCTCCCTCCCTCCCTCCCTCCCTCCCTCCCTCCCTCTCTCTCTCTCTCTCTCTCTCTCTCTCTCTCTCTCTCTCTCTCTCTCTCTCTCTCTCTCTCTCTCTCTCTCTCTCTCTCTCTCTCTCTCTTCTTACTGAGTGGCGCGTCTCGTCTCGTCTCGTCCCGTCTCGTCGTCCCGTCTCGACTCATCTTGGGGAAGAGGTTAGCTGATCTGCGTCAGACCACACCGGGGCTTCGCCTTGTCGCGGCACGCTGCGTTACGAGCCTGTCCGACTGCGACTGCGCAAAAGCCTCGTGAGAGCGCGAGCGACTCTCGTCGGAACGTCTGTGCCTTGGTGCGTGCGTTGGTGTTTGTTCGTGCTGATCGTAAAGTCGTGATGACGCCTGTGGTGCTGATCTCGCCTTCCAGGAGCGGACCACCAGCTACGCTTCTCGGGCTTCACCAGTCACGCTCTTAATTCTCGGTCTCTTCTCGGTCCGCTACGGCATCTTTCTACTCACCTCACGGTCAGGTTCTACGCGCCGCTCGCTCGCGAAAGCTTACAGCGCGGATGAATGAACGGAAATTAAACATTTTATCGCGTCGACACAGAGAGCGCGTGGTGGCTCAGAGAAAGAGAGAGGTCTCGCGTTGGTGGGATGTGTAGGGCTTTGGCTATAGTTTTTTCACGGGGGGATTTGCCTTCGCCGTATAGAGCAGTGCTGGCGGGCGGTTGTGAACTACGAAGCGCATTCCAGAGCGGGGTATAATATCAAACACACAACTAGTAAGGAAACATATTGGATGCGCAACTGCAGGTGGGAACCGTTCGAGTCCCGGCCAGTCAACCGTTTCTATTTCCATTCTTTCCCCCCACATCCCCAACACGAACCCCTCGCCCTTCCCTTTCCCTTCCCCCTCCCTCCTCCCCCATCTTCCCTTCCCCCTCCCTCCTCCCCCATCTTCCCTTCCCACTTCCGTTGCCGAACAATCGCGGTGCCTCCAGCGGCGGGGTGGGAGCGGGAGCGGGGGGGCGGCGGGTCGTCGGCGGGGAGGGCGCACGTGGAGCAGGCGATGCAGCTGCGGGACGCGATCGAGAAGAAGGTCGCGCGCAAAGAGGCCGCGCTCAAGGTCAGTCGCGCGGCAGGCGTATGGGCGATGGGGGGAGCGGGTGGGGAGGGGAGGGAATGGGGTGGGAGGGGAGGGGAGAGGGAAGGGACAGGGAGGGAAGGGGAATGGGATGGGAAGATGAGGGGGAGATGAGGGGAAAGGCGAGGGGGGAAGCGGGGGGAGGGGATCCGCATGGTTGTGATGGGTGTGAAAGGTGAGAGGGGTAGGGAGTTGAGGGTTGTGTGCGAAGATGTGAGTGGCAGAGACGAAGTGGATGAGAATGGCATGGTTCGTAAGGAAGAGGCTGTGCTGCGCGGTGCTGTATGGTGCTGTGCGGTGCTGTGCTCTGCACAGTGTCCATACGAGTGCGTTCAGAGCTGCAAAGGAGGTGAGAGGGTGCTATCCAGCGCTGCCTCGCTGCTCTCTCGCCCCTCCATTTGTCCCTTGTCGTGGGCACCTCGCGCTTCCCCAGGGAAGCACAGTCAACTCAACACCACTGCCGCCAGTGCTGCCACTGCCATCGCTTCTCTCCCCATTCCAGTGCTATCCTCCATCCTTGTCCCTTCCGCATTCCGCTTCCCGCCCTCCCCTCCCCCTTCCCTTTCCGATCCTTCCTCCCTCTCGTCTTCCCCGTATCAGCTGCCGCCTCTAAAGTCTCAGCCCCCCTCCGCGCTCCCCCCACCGCAAACCCCTCCCCCCTTTCCCCCCCCCGCGCAGGAGTGCATGCGCGAGCTGCGGCGGGTGCGCGAGGAGCAGGCGCGGCGCATCCAGGAGGCGATCGCGGAGAAGACGCGCGAGTGGGAGGCGCAGTACGGGGAGCTGGAGGCGCGGCTCAAGGGCATGGACGAGCAGCTGGCGGAAGCTAGCGCGGAGATGGATGCGATGCAGGTGGTGCTTGAAGACAGACAGATTCTCATTAGTGATCTAGAGCGCGAGATGCAGCGGTTGAAAGATGTCGCGGATGAGGCGGAGGCGGAGAAGCGGAGGCTGGGGGGTAGGGTGAAGGAGTTGGAGGGGAGAGGGGGCGGGGGTGTGGGAGGGGAGGGGGATGGCGGTGCGGAGGTGCGCGGGTTGAGGGAGGAGGTTGAGATGTGGAGGAGGAGGTGGGAGGAGAGGGAGGTGGAGGGGAGGCGGATGGAGGAGAGAGTGAGGAGGTTGGGGGAGGAGGAGCGGACACGGGAGGGGGAGGTGAGAGCGGCGGAGGAGGAGGCGGAGGGGTGGAGGAAGAGGTGGGAGGAGGCGGAGGGTGAGTTGAAGGTGGAGAGGAGGCGCGCGGAGGAGGCGGGCGCGGAGAGGGATGAGCGGGACGCGACGCTCCGGGTGATGCGCGGACAGGTGGAGCAGTGGAAGCGGCGGTATGAGGAGACGGAGGGGGGCGCGGGGGAGCTGCGGGAGAAGCTGCGGCGGATGGAGGCGGAGATAGAGGAGCGGAGGGCGCAGGCGGCGGAGGAGGAGCGCACGCAGGCTGAGAGGCGGGAAAGCGTGAGGCGGGAGGGGGAAGTGGAGGAGGAGGCGCGGAGAGGGGAGGCGGAGAAGGAGTTGGCTCGGCTGGGGGAGAGGTGCGCGGAGCTTGAAGAGATGGTGAGGCGCGCGAATGGGGAGCGGGAAGAGGCGCGGAAGGAGGTTGTGCGCGCCAAGGGGGAGCGGGATGGGATGGCGGACGTGCGGGATAGGATGGTGGCGGAGTGGGAGAGCATGCGCGTGGAGCTGCAGCGCGCGCAGGAGGAAGGGGGGAAGCTGCGGGAGGAGGTGGAGAGGGCGGAAGAGGGAAGGCGGAAGGCGGAGGAGCAGATGGAGGCAGCTGTGCGGGAGAGGGAGAGAGTGAGGGCGGAAGTGAATGGGGAGAGAGGCGAGGAGGAGGAGCGGTTGAGAGCGGTGATGGAAGAGAGGGACGAGTTAAGGGAGGAGGTGCAGCAGCTGAAAGAGGAGTGGGATGCGATGAGGGTGGAGCGAGAGAGTGCGGGAAAAGAGAGGGAGGAGGTGAGGGAGAGATTGAGGAGAATGGAGGCGGAGGAAAGGGAGAGGGTACAGGGGGAGAAGGAAGAGAGGGAGAAGCTTGAGGAGGAGGTTGCGAGGGTGAGAGAGGAGTGGGAGCGAGTGAGGGAGGAGAGAGACGGGCTCCGAGACGAGGTGGAGGGACTGATGCGAGTGAGGGAGAGGGATGTCGGGGAGAAGGAGGGAGTGAAGGAGGTGAGGGGAGTTCTGGACAGGGAGAGGCAGGAATGGGAAGGTGAGCGCGCGCAGTGGAAGAGCAGGGCGGAGGAGTGGGAGCGAGAGAGCGAGAAGTGGGCGGAGGAGAGACGTGCGTTAGAAGAGGAGGTGGAGAGGGTGAGTGGGGAGTTGGGACGTGCGCAGGAGGAGAGGGAGCGGTGGAGGGAGGCGGTGGAGCAGGGGGAGGAGGAGAAGGCGCACTTGACGCGCATGGTGGCTGCGCTGCAGGAAGGGGAGGGTGAGGTGGCACGGTCCGTGCGCAGGGACGTTCAGAGAGACGCGCAGAGGGAGGTGGATGCTGCGAGAGAGGAGGTGAGACGGCTGGAGGCGGAGTGCGAGAGAGTGAGGGAGGAGTGTGAGAGAGTGAGGGGGGAAAGGGAGAGGATGAGGGCGGAGAAGGAGGCGGCGGAGATAGAGATGGAGGGGGAGAGAGGGGAGTGGGAGGGGGTGAGGGAGGAGAGGGACGAGGCGCGGAGGGAGAGGGATGCTCTTGTGGAGGAGAGGGAGGCGTGGCGGAAGGAGGGAGAGGCGGTGAGGGAGGAGCGCGATGATGCAGTGCGGGGCAGGGAAATGCTTCTGGCGCGAGTGGCTCAACTGGAGGAGGACAGTGGCAGGGTCGCGAGGGGTGTGGAGGAGGAGAGGGAGCGAGCGGTGAGGGAGAGAGATGGAGCGGTGGAGGAGAGGGGGAAGGTGGAGCGGGAGAAGGAGAGGGTGATGGAAGAGTTGGTGGTGTTGAGGGAGGAGTGTGGGAGACTGAGTGAGGAGAGTGAGCGGATGCATGAGGAGAAGGAGCGGTGGCAGAGGGAGAGCGAGCGAGTGAGGGAGGAGTGTGAGCGGCTGAGAGGGGAGATTGACGGGGTGAAGGAGGAGCTGGATAGGCTGGGAGAGGAGTGTGAGAGGCTGCGAGAAGAGAGCGAGAGAGTGAGGGAGGAGAATGAGCATGTGAGGGAGGAGAGCGAGCGAGCGAGGGAGGAGAATGAGCGAGTAAGGGAGGAGAACGAGGAGGTGAAGAATGAGATGGCGAAGGTGAGGGAAGAGAGTGAGAGAGTGAAGGAGGAGAGGGATAGGCTGAAGGAGGAGAGGGATAGGCTGAAGGAGGAGAGGGATAGGCTGAAGGAGGAGTGCGAAGCTGCGAGGAACGAGAGGGAGTGGGCAAGGGAGGAGCGGGATCAGGTGAAGACGCTCATGTCAGGGCTGGAGAAGCAGCAGCAGCAGCGGGAGGGCGAGGCGGAGGAGGGTGAGGCGCGAGAGGCAGTGCAGCGCGTGCAGGAGGAGCGGGACGCACTCAAGGGCGAGCTGGAGCGCGTGCGGGAGGAGTGGGAGGTGATGCGCGAGGAGCGCGAGGGCATGCAGGAGGAGCGCGACGTGAGCGTGAAGAACGCGGCGCGGCTCATGGACGAGCTGGAGGCCGTGCAGCGCCGCGTGGCCCACACGCACGAGCAGCTCTCCGCTGTCTCCGCCACCGTTGCCCGCCTGCAGGGCGAACTGGCGGTTGCTGAGGAGGAGCGGCGCAAGGCGGAGAGACAGGCGGAGGAGGAGCGGGAGGGGAGGGTGGAGGTGGAGAGGGAGTTGCAGCGCGTGTGTGAGGAGAAGGTGAGGATGGAGGAGGAGGTGGAGGGCGCGGTGAGGAGGGCGCGGGATGCGGAGGAGCTGGCGGCGCAGCACAAGGCGACTGCGGAGGTGGCTGCTGCGCTTGCGGAAGAGGCGGCTGCGAGAGCGGCGGAGCTGGAAGAGGTGATTCACGCTGGAGGAGGGGGTGGGGGGGGAGGGGAGAATAGTGGGCGCGGGGAGGATGGGCGGGACGGGCAGGATGGGAGTGAGAGAGGAGGGGATGGAGGAGAGCGGGGAGGAGGAGGCAATGGTGGTGGTGGTGGAGAGAGGGCACGGCAGGAGACGGAGCAGCGGGCGGAGCAGCGGGAGCAGGAGCGGGAGGAGGAGGCGCAGGAGATGGAGTGGGCACTGCAGGAGGCGAGGGAACGCATAGCACAGCTGCAAGGGGACCTGGAGCAGGCGCGCGCTGAGAACGAGGCTGTGGATGCTGAGCTGGCAGCCGTGGAGGACATGGTGCTCCAGCTCACCGACAGCCTGGCGGATAAGGAGCGGTTCCGCGCTGAGCTGGAGGCGGCGAATGCACGCATGGCAGAGGTGGAGGGTGACGTGGCGAGCTGGAGGGAGAGAGCGATGGGGCTGGAGAGGGAACTGGAGGAGGAGAGGAGGAGAGGGAGAGAGAGAGAGGAGGGAGGAGGAGGCGGATCCGGCACTCAGAGTGGGAGGTCGCAGCGGGAAGTTGAAGCTGAGCTGGCGGCAGCGCAAGCCAGGCTGGCAAGCATGGGTGGCGAGCTGGACACGTGGCGCGAGACAACAGCCTCTCTGAACGCCAGCCTGGCAGAAGCGCAGCGGCGGATCGAGGAGCTGGTGGCAGTGGAGGCAGAGGCGGGCGAGCTGAGCCAGCAGCTGGCAGAGGCACGGGAGAGGATAGGTGAGCTGGACGAGGCAGTGGCTGCGGTGGAGAGAGAGAAGCAACAGGTGGAGGAGGACATGAGCCAGACCCGCACCGCGTTCACTGAGGTGGCCGCTAAGGTGATGCACACCATGCAGCATAATGAGGAGCTTAAGCTGGAGTTAGCTGCGATTAAGGCGCAGGGGGGAGCGGGAGGGGGAGGGAAGGGGAGGTTGATTGAGGGTGGGGGTGGGGAGGGGAATGGAGATGGGGAAGGGGGTCAGGCACTGGCGCTGGTTTCGAGGCAGGGTGGCGGGTCGCTGGGGGAGCGGCAGAGCAGCAGTGGCAGCCGCGGCAGCGGCACCGGTGGCAGGAAGGCTGGTGCGAAGACTGCTGCCGGTGGTGGTGCTGGCAGCGGGGGCGGAGAGAGGAGCTCTAACGAGATGGAAGCACTGGAGAAGCAGGTGGAGGAGCTGAGAGCAGCAGCGAGAGAGATGGAAGCGGCAGCAGCAGGTGCGAGCAGCTGGGCACGCGAGGTGGAAGCTCGCTTAGTGGAGGAGAGTGCAGCACGGGAGGCAGCAGAGGCGGAGGCGGCGCGTGCCAAGGCGGAAGTGGGGCTGGTGAAAATGCGGCTGGCAGCGGCAGTGGAGCGAGCGAGCGTGCTGGAGGGGTGTTTGCTGGAGACGGAGCATAGAGTGTCGGACGTGAGGCGAAACATCATCTCGGCACACCACCGCAAGATGGCCGCGGATATGGAGCAAGCTCTCTCCGCTGCTGCCAGTGTTGGGGTTGGCTCCAGTGGTGCTGGTGGTGCCAGGGGCGCTGCCTCGAATCTGCTGGCGCTGCCTGCTCCTCCGCCTGCCTCCTCTGCCCCGACCGCTGCTGTTGTGGGAGCAGTGGCAGGCGGAGGTGCAGGCGAGTCGCCGTCCGTTGTATCTGCACCAGCTGTGGCTGTTTCTCCGGGGGGTGGTGGCTCTGTCTTGCCTGCTGCTGGTGCCACCGCATCAGTACCGGCAGCACCAGCGGCGTCCCTCTCCTCCTGCTCGTCCGATGCCAACACTCCCCGTGATGAGCCACTACCAGCACCGACACCATCGTCATCGGCATTCTCATCAGCAGCAGCAGCAGCGCCGGGCCTGGGAACTATGGTCCCATCATCAGCAGCAGCCTCGGCGGCGGCAGCAGCAGCAGCAGCGGCTGGAGCAGCAGGAGTGGCAGAAGCAGCGGCGGCAGGGGGAGTGGCGGCGGTGGATGTGGCGAGTCTGAACGGGCGGCTGATGGCGCTGGTGGAGGAGCTGCAGGCAGAGAAGGCGGAGAGGCAGGCTGCTGTCTCCATGCTGCAACACCAGATGCACCACGGCAGGTGTGTGCCTGCCCCCCCCGCGCCCATGCTCCACTGCAGATGGCCCCACCCGTGCTCCACACTGCAGGTAGGTGGGTACGCCCATGCTCCACTGCCCGCTGCTCTCCTTCCTCTCTTTCTTCCCATAATCCTTTCGGCACATGTCGTGTCGCCTGCCAGCCTCCTTCTATCGCTTGCTCTCCCGTTTTCCTGCACATTTTCCCTACCTCCTGTCACCTGCTTCCCCTAACCCTGTGCTCCCAACCAGTCTACTGCCCATGCATCAGCTTCTGCCTTTCAACCACTGCCCCATCGCACTCCAGCCCTCTGCCCCACATGCTCTCTTCACCTTGTGTGCGCCCTTGTCTCCCCGGAAGCAGGCTGGTAGCGCAGCAGCACATGGAGGGTGGCAATGTGTCATCGCCGTCCATCTCCTCCTTCACCGATGCCACGGCCGACTCGCCCTTTGACCCCACGCACCGCCTCATGCAGGTCAGTGCCCCACTGCCGCCTTTACCACCACTGCAGCCGCTGCCGCCGCCGCTGCCGCCGCCGCCGCCGCCACCACCGCCGCTGCCGCTGCTGCTGCCGCTGCCGCTGCTGCCGCTCCCCCGAATGCTCCGTCTGTCGCTCCTGCTGCTGCTTTATACTGCTTCTGCGCGCATTGTGAGAGGGCGTTGTGAGCCTAGTGTGGGGTCTCTCCTTTGTCCCGTGCACAGCCAATGCTCTGAGGGTCCTGTATGTCCATAGTTGGTGGCTTCGATTGAACACCAAGTTGGTACCATAGTGAGTCGAGGTGATCTCCTACAAATATTCACCTCGCCTCCACTCTTGCTCTGCCCTACTCTACCCTTGCTCTGGCCCCCTCTTGCTGCTCCTGTCTTGTTGCCCCCCCCTCTTCCTGCCCCTACCCTTGCTGCCGAACCTCTTGCTGACCTTTTGTTCCTGCTCCTACCCTTGTTTCCCCCTCTATTTCTGCGCCCACCCTTCCTGCCCCCTGTGCCTGTCTCCCCCTTCCCCACATCTGGTATTCTCAACCGGCAGTCGGCAGGAGCATCAACCTTCTATACAACATCGCCCCTCCTGCACCACCACAACCCCAACAACCCCAACTCGCCCTTCTTCCTCCACCCCTACACCCACTCCTCCATCCTCCCCTCCTCAGCCCTCCCCCACGACCCCCACATGAGGCCCTTCTTTCTCCCTGCGTCCCCTGCTGCTGCCGACGCCTCCTCTCTCCTTCACCCGACAGGAGGGTCCACATCACTCTCTGCTTCAGCTACTGCCGCTGCTGCTGCAGTATCAGCAGGGAATGGCGCTGACATGGCACTGACAGCGCCAGGTGGCATGGGGTCGTCAGCGCTGCTTGCCTCGCTGGCAGCTCAGAGGGAGGCCCGGGGTGGGGGTGCATCTGGAACGTCCCTTTTGATCCACCACACGGGGCTGTCTCAACAGCAGCAGCAGCAGTCACAGCAGCAGCAGCAGCAGCAGCAGCAGCAGCAGCAGCAGGGGAGGCAGCGAGCAGCATCACCCACATCTCGGATCCTCTTTCCAGATGCCTCCTCTCCTGCTTCTGCCTCGACTGCAGCTCCTCAAACCACCACCACAGGCCGTGGTGCTGTGCGTGGTTCGGCCAGCACTGGTGGCTCTGGCACCGCACTGCACCGCACCGCAGGCGCCTCTGGCTCGGGCAACAGCAGTGGACGAGGAGGTTCGGACTCCAGGGGACTTAGAGGCGCCACTGCCTCCTCTTCTGCTGCTGCTGCTGCTGCTGGCACGGGCAGCAGCAGGCGAAGCACAACACCAGGGAGAAGCACAGGCGGTGCGGGTGCGGGTGGTGGTGCAGGTGGTGCAGGGAACGGTGTGGGGCCTGGGCACGCTCGTAGGACCGCGTCCCAGCCCATGGCATCCACATCGCATCTCCAATCGTTGCAGCAGCAGAGAGCACGGCGGAAGACAACACCGGAAGTAGCAGCAGGGGGGGGGGGGAACAGGCAGCAGCAGTGGCACCGCAGCGGATCGCAGCCACCTGTCACCGTCCCCGTCACCACGAGCATCGGCATCAGCCTCGACATCGGCATCAGGCTCGGCACCAGCCTCGGCATCAGCAGCAGCGGTGCAAGGGCCTGGTGTGCGGCGGGACTTCTTCACATCAATGGATTCGTTAGTGGAGCGTATGGAGCGAGACGAGGCCTCTGATACTGACAGCTCCTTCACCCGCACTCTCTCCGTCGCCTCCTCCTCCCTGCTCACCGACCCCCACACTGCTGCTGCCGCTGCCGGTGCTGCGTCTGCGAGGGCGAACGGAGGCGGCAGCAGTGGAGGAGTGATAAGCCCTGGTGCGACTAGGTTGGGTGGGGTGATGGAAGGTGTGGGAGGGTCAGGATCGCTGGTGCCAGCAGATGGCTGGGCCGGTCCGCCTGGCAGCAGGGCAAGGCCGATAGGGTCCGGAGGTATAGGCTCTGGGAGGGCGGCAGGGGTTGGTGGGGGTGTGGCAGGGGCAGGCGAGTGGTCGGGTGGGAGGGGTGGGGCGGGAGTGCGTGGGAATCGAGGTGGGGTTGGGGGTAATGGTGGTGTTCGAAGCGGTGGTGGTGGGTCTCTGGGTAAGTGAGTGAAGGAGCGTGGGGTGCATGTGGAGCTTGTGGGGGAGGGAGGCTGACTGGACTGAAACACACCATGTTGGCCATGTTGAGTCTGCGGATGTGCGGTAAGGTAGATTGGGAAGTGGTGTTTGAGTCGCTGACTTTGAAGCTCACAAACTAGGGACCATTCATCCTGTTACCAGTACCGGTATGTTTCTCTGTTAGGCTGTCTAACTGTGGTAGGCTGCTGACTGCAATGAACTTTCATGTTCTAGGTAGGTAGTTGTATGTAGGTTCGAAAGAGGATCTCTTCAATTGCAATTTCCAATCCAACTCATTGTGGCCGGACCGGAGTCTACATACCGTACAATGGAAATGAAAAGAGGACTGGCTGGATGGAGTACAACTCCTGCCAAAAGATGAGCTAAATTACCACGGTAGGACATTGGCCCGTGAATGGCTCTGGGAGGTGGCTCAAGTTAGAACGGAGGCAGCTCGGGACGGGAGTGGTCTGGGGGGGCTTACCGTAGCTGGTAGGAGAGTGCTCAACAGCAACAAAAGAAGATGTGGTGCGACGTTACTTGCCCCTCACTTCGCCTACAAAAGAAGAATGAGAGAGGCTATCAGCCTTACCCACCCTCGTTCTTCTCTTCTAGTTGCAGTTCTCTTTACCCACCACCCACCCACCCCCCATTGTGTATCATTACTGGACAAGTTAGCAAGACGACTTAAAGCAGACTTTCACAATCCATGGGCGAGGTGCACCGTGCACGCGCCAAGATATGAGCCTGTTATTGACCTGCTGGGCCACAACAAGTACGTATGGATAAGGTACCTTGAAGATTAAAATCCACACGTTCTTATCCTTCTACACCAGCCTTCTATGGAAGCCGGATTGGATTACTCAGGCTACTGTGCAAGCGAAGTATAACGAGTATAAGAGGATGACATCCTATTCCTATTGCCAGTATACGGTAGGTGGGTTGTGGGGTTCTAATAAGACAAGCCAGGAGCATCATAAGTCTACTGAGACCTTTTCTTTGTGCTTGTCTGCTACGGCAACACCGTTAGAATTCTCTTTGGTGAGTGCTGCATTTGTACTATCAGGAGCTCCTTGAGCTGGCCCGTCTTGAGCTTCTGAAGGCGAGGGGCCATCAGCGTATCCCCAAGGATTATTCCGGGCCCAATTCCACTGATCTCGACACATGTCGTCGATCGAGTACTGCCCACTGAAATGTCATCGCATACACACAATAACAAAAAAGGGATCGCAAGAGGGTCTGAAAGTGGGAAACGGCCATGATTGCTTGCACAGTGCAAAAAAGAAAACGACAGGGAGATGTAAACAACTTGTACCGATGCAAGAAACGACAGAATCACGTTGGACAAGAATTGTTAGACATACCTCCAACCAAGTTCTCGAGCAGCCTTCACCGTGCAAGCATAAACCTCGCTCGCATCCCCAGGTCTCCGTTCCACAATCTTCACCGGTATTTTCTGTAGGAACAGCACTTCAACTGACGTTAAAATCCTAAATCCCAACCAAGGTTGCGTGCATTCCAAATAAAAGCACAAAACTTTACCTTGCCAGCCGCCTTCTCAAAAGCTGCCACCATCTCAAGAACAGAGCTCCCTTTGCCATTCCCAAGGTTGTAGATCGCACAACCTGGATGAGAAAAAAGAGTGGGCAAATAGAAGGCACCCGAGAGGGATTGCTTTGGTGCCATGCAGGCAAGTAGATGAGTAGGTCTATATAGCAAGAGGTTAAGAATGATTAACCAGGATATACAGCAGGCTGAGAACACTAGAAAATAGTATCCTTGTGCCATTCAGTCCAGTGAGAAGAACGTTTCACTGCAGGGCACTAAACATGTGGAGACAGTGCGGGAGGGGAAGAGAAGAGAGAGTGGGGAGAGAGTAAGAGGGAGAGAGTGAGAGAGAGAATGAGAGAGAGAGAGAGAGGGAGAAAGGGAGCGAGAGAGAGCGAGAGAGAGAGAGAGAGAGAGAGAGAGAGAGAGAGAGAGAGAGTGAGAGAGAGTGGGGGGGGGGGGGGGAGGGGGGGAGAGGGGGGGGGAAAGAGAAGTGCAGGGACTAGGGAGGGCGAAGACGTGAAAAAGGGTGGGGACTGGTAGACGTTGGAACAGGGGAGGAGAGGAATTTTAGGGTGGGTGAAGTAACCTTAGCTGCGTAAAAGCACAATGAAACCCATCGTTCACGCCTTAGTAATAATCCTACTAGCTTGTGATTTCTTTGTCATAATTGACACCTACAGCGTTTGCATAATTATTTGGAATTACACGAGTGTGTACGTGGGTAGGTGGGGGAGCGGCGGGTCGTGAGAGGAAATGCGGTAGGAGCTATGGTGAGGGGAACGGAGCGTGCGTGGGGTAGGGGGAAGTAGGGGGAAATGGGAGAGGGAAGAGAGGGGGGTTTGATGGGGGGAGCAACGCACCCATGTCTGCAGTGTGAAAGATCTTTTGTAGAGCAGCTGCGTGTCCCGTTGCGAGGTCCATTACATGAATGAAGTCTCGAACCTGCAATATGCATGGCGATAGCGTGAGACGAAACTTAACAGATGGAGCTGGCGATTGGCTTCAAAAGCACCGTACCCCTGTTCCATCTCGCGTCTCGTAGTCGTTGCCAAAGACCATAAGATGCGGCCTTCTATCCACAGCGACTTGCTGAAGAAATGGCATTAGGTTGTTAGGAAGGCCTTTCGGGTCTTCGCCGATCCTACCACTTGGATGAGCACCAACAGGGTTAAAGTATCGCAAGATGACTATCCGCCATGCTGCATCTGCCTTTTGAACGTCCTTCAGAATCTCTTCAATGAATAACTGCACGGAAGTAACGCTTGTCAGATGAAGCACGTAAAAATCCCAAAGAAGTTTTCGAATCAAGAACTCCTACCTTGGTTCTAGCATAAGGGTTGAGCGTTTGCAGGGTGTCATCTTCCATACAAGGAACACGATGTGGTTGACCATAAACAGTTGCAGACGACGAGAATACTATCTGCGTAAAATGGAACCAAAAAAAGCTGAGAGTCTCTGAAGGTCGACAACGACGAAGCAAAATACCATCTGCGCTTGTGTCTGAGAATGTACCTTTTTGCAGTCATGCTCTGCCATGACCTCGAGCAGGTTCAGTGTCCCAACCAAGTTGTTGTGATAGTATTTCATGGGTAGACTAACACTCTCGCCAACGGCTTTAAGGCCCGCGAAATGAATGACTGCGTCGACACTGAGGAAAAAAAAAGGTAGCGACTCAGTTGTCATCATGCATATGGATGCGCATTGTGAATCGAAGAATGATGAGATACATACTGATGGCTGCGAAAGATGGATTCGACCGCTTCTTTGTCGAGGAGATCGAGCTGTAACAGCAACGAGTAGTTTGAGTAAGCAATGTGAGTAAACGAATGGCTTGAGATACGCGTTCATCGAATGTACACACAAACCTTCAGGAACGTCAGATTGCTGCCTTTGTCCTTGGCCAGTTCAACAACTCTTCTCACTGCTTCTTCCGACGAGTTTGCCAAGTTGTCGACAACTAACACCCTGCGGGAACCCAGCAGCACCATGTCAGCACTAGGCCCCCCAAACACCAATAGTCTCTGACACTAAATCCTTCCTCCAACACAAACCTACCTAAATCCTTCCTCCAGCAGCTCGACACACGTATGACTACCAATGTATCCAGCACCACCCGTCACAAGAATGGTCTTCTGCACTGTGTCACTCTCAATCTCAAAAAGAGGCCCTCGAGAAGATCGGTGACTGGGGTCAGCTTGATCTCCCGCTGGCTTAGAAGACTGACTCGGAGGACTAGGCTGAAACATCTCTGTAAGGATCGCTGGGGTTTGAACGGCCGCGGAGCTCGTCTAAAGTTAACGAAACTCTAGGACCATGACCCTTCGAGGCGATGACAATAATGCATAGACGAAAGGGCACTAGGCCGTCATTATGTTAAGCTGCCCAGTAGAAACGCCAGGTACTTGGCCGATTATTTCCTGCAGTCGAGGCGTGAGGTCCGATCTAAAATCCGTGTTGCTCGGATCAGAGAGAAGTGTGGAGCGATGAAAGCGGTGGATGGAATGGGAAAGTGGAATGAGGTGAGGGAGAGACCGTCAGGCAAGGTCAACGGCTGGGAACAGTGTCGCGTGATGAGCGGAGTGGAGGGAGATGGGCAGGGTTACCACCAGTCAGGTACGTCCGCGAACGACCTCCTTCGCTCACACCTCATGCACTGCACACACCTCCTCCTGCCAATGGAAGCTGGCAGTTTGTGTGAGCGCAAACGGAATTTGTGGCTCTCCTTCCCATTCCCTATGATTTTGCAGCTAGCCTCGGACGGCATCCACACGGTGTTTGCGTTTCCCGCCACCAACCCAAACTAGGGAAATCTGACATGCCAAATCGAAAGCTTTGGCTTGACAATTCCCCCAAAACCTGGTTCGCATGATTCAGGCTATTGGCCACCTCGATGCTGTCAAATTTATCTACACACAGAGCTGAGGAACTACAGAGGTCAGCGCCAGGTTGACTTGGTGTGTGCGCTATGCAGGTGACGAGGCTCAGCACGCCAATCATCTGCGAGCACCTGCGAAGCAGGTGCGAAGCTGTACTGTGGGAGCAACGCTGGCACGCCGTCGACCTGCTACGTTGGCACGCCGTCGACTTTGCACTGCTGGAGCGCGTTCGACCAAGTCGTGCTGGAACGCGGTCGACCATGCTGCGCTGTCAGCCGACCGACCTGAGTGCTAGCTCTGATGTAGTCTTGCCATGCCAACTTCTTTGTACCATTGTTGTATGCACGCTAGTATGCGTGCATGTCATCCTAACGTCCTGCTGTGTGCTTGTGCAATTCATGCTTGCGTCGTTTGCATGAGCATAAATCCTTATGCATGGCTGTTGATTTTATCACCTCTGTATTTTTCTCCAAGTCTAAATGCTTGATCGCGCAGGAGAAATCCAGAGCTTTCCAATGATACCAAGATCGCCTTATTCCGACCAAGATCGCCCAAGTTATA